TGCGTCCTTTGTGGATTAATGATTCTTGTATCATTTTACTTAGAATATCTTGACGGATTCTTTTGAAAGAATTTAGATATAAATTATAATAATGCTTAAAACTGTTTCCATTAAGAAAGAGGATTTTCTATTCGTGTCCTCTTTTTTGAATTCAAAATGAAAAATAAAGACAATGCAATTTCAGCAATCAACATTTTTTTTAATTCATTGTCATGAATGAATACATTGAGAATTGGTGAGAACACCAATTTTTATGTTAAAACAGACAAATTATTAATCGGTTTTCTATATTAACAGTCAAAAATTGGTGAAGGCACCAATTTGAATTATCAATATCTTCAAATAAATATTGATCTTGGTGGTTCCACCAAGAAAACAAGAGTGAATTTACAATACTTAATTTTCTAGTTAATTCTACGAATTAGTAAACTAACCATAAAACATCTTGGTTAGTCCACCGAAAATACGAAGACAAATGCCTATGATTACATAAAATAGATATAGCAAGTGTATTATATCAGTAGTGGGGAATTTGGTGGTTCCACCAAAAATTGAATGTGGTGAAATTCCCGATAACATTTTAAAAATGACGTTGGTGAATCCACCAGTTTTAAAATACTGAAACAACCCATTGAGAGAAACTGAGTTGTAGAACCACATAAAAAAACGTCCTTTATACAGAGTCGGTGCACTCACCAAAATGCAAAAATTCAACTAACAACACATTCATAAATTTTTCTCACAAATACTTGGTGGATCCACCAAAAATACAAATTGAAATTCACAAGAATGATTAAATGATACACTGTCAAGATAACCTTGTATTCACTAACAGTGGGCAATTTGGTGGATCCACCAAGGACATTGAAATCAAATTTAAAGGCAAACATAATTTTCTTGTAAAATAAATAAGCGACACTTTCCTAATACATTGATGAACACAAGAACAAAAACCTGGTGGGTCCACCAGAAAATTCGAAAATTTTCATGTAACTCAAAGATAACAAATCTGTCTCTAAATATTGAAAGTCGTTTGGTGGACTCAACCACCTGTAGAAAAAACAAATTCCTAGGCTTTCTTAATTTTACTAACAAACACTTGGTGGACTCACCAAAAACAAACCGAATACTTGAATGATATATTATCAGCATTGCCTAATTTTTTAAAGTGGGGAATTTGGTGGGTCCACCAAAACATTAATCAAAGAAACACTTGTAGATTTCCAATTACAATGACTAAGTTCCTTTCTAAATATATGAAAAAAGTTGGTGGATTCACCAGAAAACGTCGAAAATGTACATCTTACGCTCTCATTACTTTTTGTTGATACATTCGCAATTCAGTAATAAGTGGAACGATGAACATGTGTTTGATAAAATTATAAAATACAATTTCAAAGATGTGTATACATTTTCAAAACAAATGTGAATCCTCTGATTAAGGGAAAATGTTAAATAAACATTATATAAGATAACCTGCTATCTACTGCTTTATTTGCACGTTAATAAAGAGAATAAAAACAAATCTTTCTCTATTTATTTAAACAGAAAAATACTTAGTTTGTTTCTTTAACTCCCCTGTGATTTTGGCGATTTTCCGTGTCTGCACTACTGTATTACACCTTCTACAATGGGATGCGAACCCATGCATGACACTTAAGCAAACTACTAACACCGAAGTCCAAAATATATTATTGGGCTTAATATTTCAATTCATTTACTCTCTCTATTTTTTTACTGAAGCAACAAAAATACATTAACTTTAGTACTCTCAAATACACATATAGAAAGCATAAGGAATGAATGCTGCACAAGAAAAAGTGGCAACCATGAGGATCAACACGAATAATATTATTATACACAGCACAGCTTTTGATTGATTGATTGTATACTGTTTAACGTCCCTCTCCAGAATATTTCACTGATATGGAGACGTCACCATGGCCGGTGAAGGGCTGCAAATTTGGGCCTATGCTCGGCACTCAGGGCCATTGAGCAGGGAGGGATCTTTATCGTGCCACACCTGCTGTGGCACGGGGCCTCGGTTTATACGGTCTCCTCCGAAGGACCGCCCCATTTAGTCGCCTTTTACGACAAGCAAGGGGGTACTGAGGACCTATTCTAACCCGGATCCCCACGGGACTAGGACAGCCTTTGAAAATAGATAATAAATTCGTCATCTATAGACTAGGTAGTCATTCCAAAGAGAATTTAAAATTATACATCCAAGTCCAACACAATCACAGTCTCAAGAGTTGATATAATACATTTTTATCCCTAACATTGATGTCCCCTTTTCACCTCTATGGCGGTGTGGTTTGCAAGAGCTAAGGTTCGATTTACATGTACACTGTACTGACTTTCTGCAAATTCTGTTTGGAAGGTGGGTTGCCATTTTCCAGTTGGTTGGTAACATTGTAATTAAATTCTAGTGGTCGGGGCTTGATCTGTACCATTTTTCTTCTGATATGATTTTTTTTGACACGTTTTAGCCATCCTTTCATAATTAAACTATTGAGTACGTAATTCCCCTTGATTTTTCTTGAGTAAAAGAACAACTTGTGCTTTAAAATGTGAAAACTATCATCACAATATAACACCAGTGATATCTTGTTTAACACTGTTTTCTGGTCTCTTTACAATTGTATTTTTAGACATCTCTGTGTTTTCTGTTTCTAATCCTGAGACAGCTTGGTACGTAGTTGCAGTAATGCTGGACTTATCACCATCATCTTATGTCCTATGATAAAAGTACATGTACAAAGTCTGTGTATGGTGCACAAAATTTTAACGTTTCATATTTTCGTGTTTTTTTTTTCAAATATTTTATAGAATTTCATATTTTAAACAATTAATTGAATTCATTTCAAATAAACAGAATTTGAGAAAGAGGCCCAAAGGCCACATTGCTAATATTAGATTATAGAATTAAATAAGAAAGCTTTCCTGGGATTTAATTTCAATCGCATTGCCCTCACCCTAGGTAGATGCTTTGAACATATTTGTATCTTCATGTCTTGAGGATGCTTTTCAATATATTTTTTTTTTTTAATTTCGGCATTTCTAGTCTAAGATTAAAAACAAAATCCTGATATTTCTTTTTTGCATAACTTTCACGTACTGTTAAACCTGCACACTACCGGCACGGGCGATAATTTGAAGAAACTTGAGATAACCTTATATTCTATTTTCGTAAACCTTATCATAATATCAAAGTAATTTACTAAAGGTTTTAAGTGAAGATTACGGAAGTTTTTTGTAACCATATATAATGTACGTGTACAAATATAAACGCATTCAGTTTGTACTAACAAAATTAACTTGACAGAGGGAGGACACAAATAAAACAGGAAACCACATACTGATCTTCATAAAATTATAAACCCATTATATACTTGTTCCTTTTATTTATCTTGATACTTCAAAACATGATGTTCACTGCATAAACAAACTATCCATCAAGACAGAAACATAATTATTCTTCATACATGTGTATTACCTATCTCACAAAACTTACCGTTGTAAAGCCAACATATTCTTTTTGAATTCTTCAAAATGTCTTCTTTTTAAATCGATAAATAAGTCCTTTTCCTCTGCAAGCATTATGGTCAAATGAATCCCTTAGCTCTATCACCATTCAGCACAAGTTCAGGTAGTTTTCTGTTGCTGCATATTCCATTAAAAAGCTTTGATGTATACACTGTATCTTCCATGCCTACTATAAACAAAGTCATGCGCAGCCTTACTTCCTGTTATATGTGTAATAAATTCCAACTCTCATTCGATTCAAATTATGGTGTTGTAACACGTGCGGGCTTATTCTAGCATAACATGTCTCTATCCTGCAGAGTCCATCGCGCATATCAGACGGTCAAGGTCAGTGTAGTACTGGCTCTGATGATAAACTGAGATTTGAATATGCTGATTGCTATTATTTTCATACCCTTTCAACGGTGCTAAATCTTTGCTTAGATTTCATTTAGAATTGCCTATATAATTTTTATTAGTTGCCTTCAAAGTTAACATTAATCTATTGCAGTAATAAAGTATAAGTTAAGCAATTCTCTCTCAAAAAATAAAATGAAAAACAATAAATAAATAAATAAACGTCGTTTTCTAAGCTATATCATGTGAACTTTTTATATTATGTTCTATTAGTTGTACATGTAAAAATAGAAAAAAAAATTGTAAATGATTCATTTATTTATTTGAAAAAAAAAATCTTTTTATATATCTATTAACTTTAAGATAACTTTGGGAGAAAAACAAACTTTGCGTTCTACTGTTACAGTAAATAAACATGAAGACAACAAGCAACATATCAGCTGTAAGACACTTTAATAGCACTCTTATAAAATAAAGAGGAAATCGGATATCAAAATTGCTAAAAGTTAGATGCGAATCTTAATTATTTAACAGTCGGTGTGTATTTTTCGCAAAGCACAATATCCGATGTCGTATAATAGTTTCAACAATAATGTCAACTTAAACATGTGTATTTACAGCTTAAATAAAACATTTCTATTTCGGAATACATGTAGAAGCAAATAAACTTTAACTCGATAGCTAAAAGATCCATAGCTAACTTACCAAATTATTTAAGTGTAAATCACTTGTTTCTATTTAGGTGTATATAAATATGTACTAGTCCCTTTTCAATTTAATATCACACTACATGTAATTATGTTTGTAATCATTTGTGAACGAGTATAATTATATTTTCATGGTTGCATGATATTCATTTTACTTGATAAATACATCAATATTAGACAAAAGAAAATTTTAAAAAAATTATGAAATAAAACAATTAGCTATGAATTTGACTTAACAGCTTAGGACTGTCTGAGATACTTTCAAGTTGTAATGTTATTATTTTCTTGACCCCTCCCCCCCCCAACACCTCCGATTTCAGAAGAAAGAAATGTATCTGCCTGTATGTACATTGCAATAGATGTTTGAATATTGAATTTTGAATTTCTTCCAATCCATCTTAAAACTATTCATACGCTTCTGCATAAAAAATATCCCTGCTTCAACGCCCCTAACATCATCCCATTCATACGATCATCATGACATACAAATGTTATGAGATATTTACCATGGAGCACCAATTCTCTTTTCATAATCAGCAATTTACCTAAGAAATAGGAATAGATGCAATAAATTAAAAGTTAGATATTTTTATATAATTTTCATATTTGAACATCTGATAATTATCAATCTGATGAAATGTTAATTAAGTATTATGATAAGTTAAGTCTAAAATCTTGAATGTTTTGCCATTCCTGTCTAAATCCATCAAATTATTCCGAGTAAAATGATGCAAGAATCATTAAGCCAGAAATGACATGAAGGCTTATAATTACTTACTCGAAAGATCATCCACGGTTATATGAAGATCTCTGATATCTCCAAGTAAATCTATGTATTTTTTCTCTTGCTCTGGATCCATGGAGCAGGTTTTTATCATGTTGACTCCATCCTGGTATACCGTGCTGGTGCCTAGGTGTCGCTCTAGCTCCACTACAATGTCCCGGATGTTCCGCCATTCCTGTCTAAATTCTGACTCGGATAGAGACAGGTCAGCTGAATGTCCGTAATACTGGTTTCTAATGAGGCGAATTCTTTCAATGTTGGCTGCCACCCTTCTATCTCCTGGGTCCGGAATCTCTCCCCAACCTTTATAATGCGCTGGTATTGTACTTACATTGCGTAGAAGTAAATACAACTAGATGCTGTCATGAGACAGTAATACCCGCACTAAGGTGTTTGCCTCTAAATACATGCTCATACATATTGGGCGGCTTTCCAAAGAAATAGTCAAAATAATTCTATAATTTACATGTATTCATCAAATTGAGTATGAAATTCTCAGACCCTGTGACCTATAACTCAGAACCTCTTATATTTATTTTATACATGCTTATAAATTCATTATATACCAGTCTGAATTTTATTAATGATGTAAATTCATGCACGGATCTGTCGGGGGGGGGGAAGGTTACAATGGACCCCCCCCTTGGAAAATGCAGACCCCCCCCCTGGTAAACACGAATATGTGTAAAATAGGTATGAAAAGTTAAACATTTGTGGCAATAGAAGTCACCACTACCCCCACCCCACCCCCCACAATATATAGGTTTTTGACGTTTAGGATTTTTTTTGACTGAGGTGGACCCCCCCCCCCCGGAAAAAAATTTTTGGATCCGCGTCTGAAATTACATTTTGATATATGTTTTGCTCATAATAGGACCTTTTTTAATTTACTAACCCCCCCCCCCTCGACACCACAATCACACAGCACATACTTTTTGGAATAGGCTAGATGGAAAAGGTTTGTTAAGATTTAATATCGTTTGTTATGAATTAATTTAAAATTTGTTCTTGTACATGTGAACAAGTAAATTTCTACATCACATCACGTTGCGTCACCCATTATCATATTTATAGATTAAACACCATTTGGCACACCTCGGCCGATACCCACTTCATCTGATAAGGTGAAGGAATCGACGAAGGTTCGCCAAAATGGCACATGGGTGCAGTCTGGTGTGCACTGGATTAATTCATTTTGTGTTATAATTGGATTTAGTTGACGAGACACAGGGAGTCGGTAAGTAGAAGTTTTAGTATAGTGGGGGGTAAAATACACCCAAACGATTAGGTTAAAGTTTAAAAAGGGTCAAAGATCATCATATTTCATATTGTGAAATTATCTCCCGTTGTCGATGTGACATTCAGCTATTGCCAATACTGGTGCGGATCCAGAATTTTTTTCGGGTGTAGGGAGGGGGGTTCACATCTCAGTCAAAAAAATTCCAGCCCAGAATTTCGTGACAAGCAGGAGAAAAAAAATGAAAACAAACTAGTAGACTTATTGTTCACAGAACAATAAGAGGTCTTTCCACCTTCTTTAAATTTCAATTTTATTTTATATCTGACTCCTTAAAATTAAATTCCATGAATAAGAAACAAAAATTGTCTTAAAGGATAGAAAAAAATGAAAATTAAAAAAAATTGAAATGACCTAGACCTTTGACCTTGACAAAATGTTCAAGGTCAAAGGTCAAGTGTCACAATGCAATTAACCCCATGCTTCTACGACTTATAGTTGTCAAGTTATAATGTTTAATAGTAAGTACAAAGAAGTTAAAGGGCAATAATTCATATAAGGGGTCATCAGATCCTTTAGCACTTATACAGTGAAGTTATGCCTTAAGATCCTAAAGACATTAGTGAAGGTTTGGTGTCTCTACGGTCTACAGATTCCGAGGAGTAGCGGTTACAAGGTTTTTCACACAAGGGGCAATAACTTTTAAAAGGGTTAATCCTAGGAAACAAAAATGAAATATTTAAAATAGTTTAAAGAGTACATATTATTGATGCAAAGGCATTAAGTATATGTTTAAAGACAAAAGAGAATATAAAAAGAGCTTAATTTCTCAAATTTGGAATGACCTTGACCTTTGACCTTTGTATTAATTTCATGATCAAAGGTCAATGAATCTTATGCAGTTGGTCCCATGTCTCTATCACTACTTGTTTTGAAAATTTTTAATTATTTGTAAAATTCAAAAAGTTTCAGGGGCAATAACTCATTGAAGGGGTCACCGAAGACTTTCGCAATGAATAGAATCCAGAGTCCTCTCGATTAGTCGAAGACTTTAGTGAAGGTTTCATATTTCTACGGTTTACGGTTTCGAAGGAGTAGTGATAACAAGGTTTTTTGTACAAAAGGCGATAACTTTTAATACGGTCAATCTTAAGGAATACAAAATAAATCTTCAAAATAGGTTTAAGAATACATATTATTGATGCTAAAACAGTTTGTATATGTTAAAAGACAAAAAAGATATAAAAAGAGCTTTATTTCCTGATTTGGAATGACCTTGACCTTTGACCTTTGCATTAATTTCATGATGAAAGGTCAATAAATCTTATGCAGTTGGTCCCATGTCTCTATCACTTCTCGTTTTGAAAATTTTTAATTATATCTAAAATTCAAAAAGTTTCAGGGGCAATAACTCATTGAAGGGGTCCCTGAATACTTTCGCAATGAATAGATTCCAGAGTCCTCTCAATTAGTCGAAGACTTTAGTGAAGGTTTCATATTTCTACAGTTTACAGTTTCGAAGGAGTAGCGATAACAAGCATTTCTTGCCAAAGGGGCAACAACTTTGAAAGCGGTCATAGGTCATACGCGTTGGGTCAAATTTGTTCATAACTTTTAATGTCCTTTACGATGAACAAAAAGTCTTTTCGATAAATATCGAAATAAAAAATCAGCGGAAGAAGAATAATAATAAGAAACAGAAGAAAATCAATAGGTCTTTCCACAGAAAGGTGGAAAGACCTAATAAACCAAATAAAAAAACAATGATAGTGAGGTCAATGTTTTCTAAGTTTATAGGGAGAGGATGTCAAGAGTCATTTTTTACTTGCTACGTATATAGTCTTGTTTAAATAAAGCAAATGCCAGATGGGGGGGGGGATTCCAATCTTCCTACCCACTTCCTGTCCCTGAAATAACAATGTATTTTGTGATTCCAGTTAAATAGTATATTTTTTTCCATTTGACTAATTATTAGGTCTTTCCACCTTTCTGTGGAAAGACCTATTGATTTCCTTCTGTTTCTTCTTTTCCTTATTAGGTCTTTCCACCTTTCTGTGGAAAGACCTATTGATTTCCTTCTGTTTCTTCTTTTCCTTTTTTATTATTTTTCCGCCGTGTGATTTTTTGTTTCAAGATTTATCGAAAAGATTTATAGTCTATAGGAATGTACTCCGTAAAAGATGTTTGCAGTTGACCCTGCGTAAATGAACTTTGACCGCTTTCGAAGTTATTGCCCCTTTCACAAGGAATGCTTGTTATCGCTACTCCTCAGAAACCATAAACCGCAGAGGTATGAAACCTTTACGAATGTCTTCAACTAATTATAGGGACTCTTCAATCTATTCATTGCGAAAGTATTCGGTGACCCCTTCAATGAGTTATTGCCCCTGAAACTTTTTGAATTTTACAAATAATTAAAAAATTTCAAAACAAGAAGTCATAGAGACATGGGAGCAACTGCATAAGATTCATTGACCTTTGACCTTAACATTCATGTAAAGGTCACAGGTCAAGGTCATTCCAAAAATGAGAAAATTAGCTTTTTTTGTATCTCTTTTGTCTTTCAATATATACTTAATGTCAATGCATCATTAATATTTACTCTTAAAACTGTTTCAAAGATTTCAATCTTGTCCCCTAGGATAAAACCTTTTAAAAGTTATTGCCCCTTGTGCGAAAAACATTGTTATTGCTACTCCTCCGAAACTGTAGACCCTAGCTACACCAAACCTTCACTAATATCTTAAGGGTCTTTAGACCTAACTTCACTGTATAAGTGCAAAAGAATCTGATGACCCCTTATATGAGTTATTGCCCTTTAACTTCTTTATACTTACTATTAAACCTTGTATCTTGAAAACTATAAATGGTAGAAGCATATTGAATATTTTGTCAAGATCAAAGGTCAAGTTCATTCCAAAAATTAGAAATTAAGCTCTTTTTATATCTCTTTTGTCTTTTAACATATGCAAACAGTCTCTGCATCATTAATATGTACTCTTTAAACTATTTCAAAGGTTTCATTTTTGTTCCCCAAGATTGACCTTATCAAAAGTTATTGCCCTTTATGCGAAAAACATTGTTATCGCTACAACTTTAAAACTGTAGACCGTAGAGGCATGAACTCTTCACTGATGTCTTAAGGGTCTTTAGGCACACCTTCATTGTATAAGTACTAAAGGATTTAATGACCCTTTATATGAGTTATTGCCCTTTAACTTCTTTGCACTTAATATTTAAACTTATAACTATAGAACTAAAAGTCGTAGAGGCATGGGGTCAATTGCAATGTGACCCTTGACCTTTGACCTTTGAAGATCTGATCAAGGTCAAAGGTCAAGGTTATTTAAAAGAAAAAAATTTTTAATTTTCATTTTCTTTTTCTAAGCCATTTCCCTTAAAATTAAATTGGAGAGTTAAATATAAAACTATAAGAAATTTAAAAAGGTGGAAAGACCTCTTATTGTTCTGTGAACAATAAGTCTCCTAGTTTTTTATTATTTTTCCGCCGTGTGATTTTGCGTTTCAAGATTTATCGAAAAGATTTTTATTTCATAAGAATGCACTTTGTAAAAGATTTTCGCAGTTCACCCTGCGTATATGAACTATGAACCCTTTCGGAGTTACTACCCCTTTCGCAAAAAAGCTTGTTATCGCTACTCCTCCGAAACCGTAAACCGTAGAGAAATGAAACCTTCACTAATGTTTTTGACTAATTTAGTAGACACTTCATTGATTCATTGCAAAAGTATTCGTCAACCCCTTCAATGAGTTTTTGCCCCTGGAAGTTTTTGAATTTTACAAATAATTAAAAATTTTCAAAACGAGAAGTTGTAGAGACATAGGACCAACTGCATAAGGTTTATTGACCTTTGGTCTTGAAATTTATGGAAAGGTCAAAGGTCAAGGTCATTACAAAAATGAGAAATTAAGCTCTTTTTATATCTCTCTTGTCTTTCAACATATACTTAATGTGTATACATCATTAATATGGACTCTTAATACTGTTTCAAAGATTTCATTCTTGTCCCCTAACATTAACCCTTTTAAAAGTTATTGCCCCTTG